ATATGCCGGGTCGTCTTATACGCCGGAAAATACGGTATATATATTTAAAAAGTGGCATTCCTAAGAAGGAACACACTGAGGCTAGTGGACAAGGGAAATGGACACCTTGAACAGGAGAAGGAAGGGAAGAGAACTATGGCCAATGCAGACCAGCAGTTTAGGCCGGCCTGGGGGTGAAGTTGGAGTGGGGCAACCACATGCTGGCCACCCCGACTCCGCCACACACTCGTCCGTATGGCGCACGGTGTCAGGGTGCCCTCTTAGTGCAGCGTGCGCACATGTTGTGCCAAAGGGGTGCAAAAGAGCTGCGGCGGCAGCTCTAAGGGTGGCCTTTCGCCACCTCCAAAAGGAGCGGCAAAAAGGAGGATTGGGGCCATGGTGTTTGGTTGCCACGGCCCCGAACCGCTGCTCCCAGGGCCGCTCCTTCTTGGCCATCTGCATCGGCCCTCAATTTGAAGGAAGACCAGCAAAAGACTCAAGGAAAAGAGGCAGAGAATGGCAAAGACTGTTCAGAAAGCAAGGAGGAGGATTATATGTGAGAGGAAGCCAGCAGCTGGTGGGTTGGAAGGGGAATGCAGAGCTTTGAAGGAAAATGGAGGGTGGGGAAGAGTAAAGGTCTGAGAAAGCATCCAGGCTGGAGGAGAGGCTGAAAAGCTGAAGAGAAGCCAGACGGTGGCAATGTTTGGGGACTGTCAGAGAAACAAAGAGTTGGAAGAGACTTCAAGGGCCATCCAGTCCAACCCCTTGCCATGCAGGAATACATACTGAAAGTAATCCTGACAGATGGCCATCCAGGTTCTGTTTAAAGACCTCCAAAATAAAGAGACTCCACCACTCTCCGAGGAAGCATATTCCACTGGCGAACTGGAAGTTCTTCCTCGTGTTGAGATGGAATCTCTTTTCCTGTTGCTCAGTGGTTCCTAAACTTTGGTGTTCCAGGTGTTTTGGACCTCATTTCCCAGAAACTTCAGCCCTCTTGGCCAATGGTCTGTAATTCTGGAAGCTGGAGTCCAAAATACCTGGAAGGCCAGAGTTTGGGAATCACTGCTTAGCTTGAATCCATTGCTCAGGGTCCTAGTCTCTGGAGCAGCAGAAAACAAGCTTGCTTCATCCATCAAATACTGAAAGAGGGCTGTCAGGTCACCTCTTAACCATCTTTTCTCCAGGCTGAACATACCCAGCTCCCTAAATCTTTCCTCATAAGGCATGGTTTCCAGACCCTTCACCATTTTGGTTGCTCTCCTATGGACACCCTCCAGGTTCTCAACACTCTTTTTGAACTTAGTGGCGGACTCTGTGGGCAAGTATGGCTGTGTGTGTGAGTGTGTGCGTGTTTGTGTGTCAGTGTGTGTTTATGTGTGTGAATGTTTGCGTGTGAGTATTTATGGGTGTGTGTTTATGGGTGTGCATTTATGTGTGTCAGTGTGTGTGAGTGTTTATGTGTGTTTATGAGTGTTTGTGTGTTTATGTGTTTGAGTGTTTGTGTGCGTGAGTGTTTATGGGTGTGTGCATTTATGTGTGTGTGTGTGTTTATCCACACCATGTTTTTACTATGCTTGCTCCCCCCCACAGAATTGTTAGTGCTCCCAGTCAAAAACTGCTGTGTATCCGCTCTACCCTTTTCTGGTTTGACTGAGAGTTCCTGCACGGCAGGGGGGTTGGACTGGGTGGCCCTTGGGGGTTTCTTCCAGCTCTGTGATTCTATGTGTGTGAATGTTTCTGTGTGAGTATTTATGGCTGTGTGTGTGTGTCTCCACCTTCCCAACTTTCAGCTCCCTAGGGCCATTTTGGTAGGCTGCATCCACATGGCTGATCCACACTGCCACAACCAAGTGCAGTTCCCAGAATGTCACCGCCTTGAGCCATGGCAGTCAAAGGGCCTTTGCAGACTGCCAGAAATAGTGCAAATTGAGTCCACTTTAAGGGTTAGGATTAGGGTTAGGGAATCATGGGAACTGTAGTTTATTGTGGCACCAGAGCTCTCTGACAGAGAAGGAACAATGTCTTAGAAAAAAACACCAATTCCCATGATTCCCTACCACTAACCCTAACCCTTAAAGTGGACTCAATTTGCACTATTTCTGGCAGTCTGCAAAGGCCCAAAGCGGTGCCAAAGCGTATTATTTCAGCCATGTGGATGCCTGTGGGACAGCTCCTTCCTAGGCTGGGCTCTGCAGCACTGAGAGGAGGATGAAGAGGAGGAGGAAGGCAAGCAGGACATGATGCCAGGGGCTTCACATTCCTGCAGCAGAAGCTGCTCCCCTCCCCTCCCTCCAC